ATTGCGCCCGTGTGCTGTGCACGCTCTGCCCGGCGGCCCTGAGGCAGCGCCTTTACCAGCGGGTACCAGCTAGTGTAAATAATTTATTACCTTTTTTATTAGATTACGGGCAAACGGCACTGATACCCTCATCCCGACTCCAAATTCATTCAAATAGCACTCAAGTAATGTCGATCAAAATTTACAATAAATTACCCTAAGAAATTAGAAATGAAACCATATAAAATATATATTTCAATAAATTAAAATAATTGTAACTACAAAAATTCTATTACAGCGTCAACGAATATCTGAGCAATCAATAAATTAAACATGTGCATAAAAAACTGAAGTATGATTATTATTGTTAGTTTGTATTATCTCTCCCTCTCTCATCTATTGCTGTGCCCGACAGGGTCCATGATGATCTGATATTATATTGGAGTACCATCTAAGTAAATGTCCGTGTAGTGACGGATTAAGAATACGGAATGTCACTACCCCAATTCATCCCGTGGGTGTCGTAAGAGCCGACTTAGGGCGCAAAAAAACGCAGGATACCAGCACTGCAAAAAGAAGGAAAACTTGACACAAACCCTATACCAACCCGTCTGGCCAGCGTGGTATAGTAGGCCAAAACCTCCTTTCTAAGGAGAGGCCTATGTCCAGCAGTGGACTATTAAAGGCTGTTGATGATGATGATGATGATCTAAGTAAATATTGTGGAATGCAATAAATATATTGAGTATGGTTACTAAACTCCCCTCCCAGAGTCAGAGGTAGGTAAGGCTTGGGTTTCGAATAGACATAATTAATGGTGCAAATTCCATAGTTATCAATCTACCACCTCGACCACCATATTAACCTCGACTTCTATCCAATACCCTAATTCTTAGGGGCAACGCACTTTGTGTCTCTTGTTGTCACCAAGAAAACGCGGCCCTTGGGCGGCGGTAGTCACTCCACTAGGTGACCCAGCTGTTGACCGTAAAAAACCTTTTGTCCCTTAACTCGTACTAATTACTGAGTTTGTTGTCATGCTGTCAAGTATGAACTGCTGAACCGATGGTCATCAAATTTTGCATACACGTAGTAATGTGTACAGATAAGGATATAGCGCACCTTTATCATTGATGTGACTGAAACCGCAGGCAATAGCTACGCTCCTACAAGTGGAATATTATGCAAGCATATAAACTTCTTTTTATGACATGTTTTAATCATAATTGAAATGTAAAGTTACCTAGCGACTGTACAGGGAGTTAAATTAACTTATGGTAATATTTGAAGGTCATGTAACTTAAATATAACGTTATATTTAATATATTTATAAACTAGCTTGGTACTGGACTGGTACCCGCTACTTGTTTCGCGTGGAATTTAAATTGAAAATGTTATTAAGGCCTCGGGCCTCGATTCCCGGACCGGGCAAAATTTTATAGGGTTTTTCTGAGACGGAAAATAGCCTAAGTTACTCCTTATATAAACAGCTACCTGATAAATATTATCAAAATCGGTCCACAAATAGACGGACAAACAGCCAGAAAAAAAAAGAAATATAAAAAATTTCAACTGGATTATAGGCATAGGTATCGTGCAAATAACCGTGTGAGCATGAAAAAACACTTATTTTGACATTACAAACAGATACTTCAATTTTATTTATTTGTATAGATAAATATTACTTTAAAACTGATTCTACAAATGAAACTAATATCCTATAAGCTCCAGAACTGACATTAAATAATTACGGGTATTTAGTAACAAGTATTTTGAAAATGGCTATAAAAGGCTAGTTTTTGCACTCGCGTTAATGGCGCAGATCCCGTGAGAAATAGTAGCCTATGTTCCATTCCAGACTATAATCTATCTCTATACCAAATTTCTTCCAACTCCATTCAGCCGTTCTGACACTGGCGTTGCACAGTTATCAATTTTCATAGTTATCAAACATCTATGCATCCCTCAATATATCCAAACTTTTACATTTATATTTACGCCACGAAATACCAATTAATACTTGGAAATAAAACTACTAAAAAGCCACTAAAATAACACCACTGTATTTGCAAAATATTCCTAGAATTACTAACAAGTATGTAAAATGTAAAACCAAGTAGGTATTACCCGATGAATGTTAGTTGATTAAGTTTGTCGGCGGATGTGTTTATTCTCGTGACCTTCATTACTCGGTCGCGTAATGCAGTTAGTTTGACAATTTAATTGGTGTAGATGTTACCGGCAAAGTCAGAATGGTATACATTTTCAAAACTTACTGATTTTAATGTCGAGTTCTTTATTAGACAGTGGTAATTTACAGAATGTACGTCATCATCTCAACCAAAAGACGTCCACCGCTAGCTATCCACAACGGCTCCCGAGACCTTCACCAGGTCCACCATCTTGTAGGGGACCTACCGGTACGTGCATGCCACTTAAGAAGTTTGTGGCTCCGTCGGCCGTCTTTTCTGCGAACCATGTGCTCCGCCCGCTGCCACTCTTCATTCCTGATTCGATCACGTAGAGAAACTCCGAGCATTACCATCAAGAATGTACGTACTAGTAGATAAATATTGTGACGTGAAAGTTTCAATAAAGAGAAGGTAAGTTTTTAAAGGATTGATTATAATAATATGAAATTAGTTGTGTTACAAAATTAAAAAGCAAGTTTTCAGCTGATGACTACTGTTAAAAATGAAACTAAAATATTTAATTCATTAAGTTCGCACTTAAGTCCTTTATTGAAGAGTTCGGCTTTTTAGCTCAAATAATAGGTAATTATTATGGCGCTGACCTACTCTAAATACTGGTTAAAGTTCTGAAGCTTGTGATTCCATTGCATTTTCTTCTTCTTGCTTCTAATTTCCCCAATGTTAAAGTGCTCAGTAGACGTCAATATTGATTGTTTGCGCCATATATGTGTCTAAAATGTGCTTAATCCATCTTAGATTAAGAGGTAAAATAATGTACGTATAAAAAGGTAACAAGATTCTCAAAAACTAGAAAATGGAATTGCAAATAACCAGTTTCAGACAGTTTACGGGGTTACGTTTTTTCTTACCTCCTTTTAGTCCTTCGGTCCGGTATTTCCGGTATTAGTCCTATTTTATTTCTACTAATTTGACATTTTCCCGCGACGCGCTCAAGGCATGTTAACCGAAGGTGACAAATGTCAATATAGATTAGTTTAAACCTGAAGGTGTTTAGTAATCATGCCGACGACATATCCTTACGGGGACTCGACACGCGAGCTATCTAGAGCAACTACTGGCTCTCGAAGCGATTGCGTTATGATAACCTTATCGTAACATCGCGACACTTTGCAAGCGGACAGGCAGCTAAGTTCATGAATATTCTGATCTGATTTTGTTTGGTGATAAATTGTAATAAGCTTCATACCCTAATTTGCCACGGTTAATAGTGAAAGTGGTCCGTGTAGTGACGGATTAAGAATACGGAATGTCACTACCCCAATTCATCCCGTGGGTGTCGTAAGGGCGCAATACGCAGGATACCAGCACTGCAGAGAGAAGGAATACTTGACACAAACCCTATACCAACCCGTCTGGCCATCGTGGTATAGTAGGCCAAAACCTCCTTTCTAAGGAGAGGCCTATGTCCAGCAGTGGACTTATTAAAGGCTGTTGATGTGAATAGTGAAAGTTTTATTTTAATTATTAAAGAATGATTGAAAGAAATGAATGCACCACAATCTGTCGAATTGAGAACAGCATAGGTAAATTTATAAAAAACGGGAGAACCTCTATGGATATTGTTTTATCAAAAGCTCTGTGATTTGATGTGCAAATGTTACCATTCTGTCAACGAGCACTAACTTATGCTTCGAGAATCACTGGTGTCATGTTCACGTAGACACGAAGGCTCTGCGGGGATTCTTGTACGTAACGTAACTTAAAGTTATGACAACATAAATAGCTATTAAACAATTATTGCCTTCAAAAATTTAGTGTAAATATAATAAGTTGGAATGAAAAACAAACAGAATAAATGAAGACGGATGAGTAAATATTAATAATATTAAATTAATGAATACATTTATTTTCTTGGCAGATCTCAGATTATTTTATGAATGTATCCAATTAAATTCGTGTTGGCAGAGCAAAAGTCATGGCTTTTAGTCATGAAAAAACATATGGAAACTTACAGCCAATTCTTAATGACATTGTGGATGTAAAATATATCATATTAAAAAAGGAGACGCTAGAGCAATAGGGATGCCATAGCCCTGATGACCTTTATGACCTTGAAGGTTATAAGAGTCACATAAATACATTTACATCTTTATTTCCCCCCTCTAACATAAAAATAAAAAATCAGGCGGGCGAATTACTACTAAAGCTATGCAGGTTCGTAGCGTGACCCACCAAAAAAATACAAACCATTGTTATAAACTTTGTAGGTGGCCATGGGCGATGATACACACTTACCATCAGATGACCCGTCTGCTCGTACAGCCCCCCCCCCCCCGCCTATATCAGGAAAACAGAAAAAAATGTCGCTGCTAATGTAGTAGTGTGTATCCATTGGTGAAAGAATTTTAGGCATGAAAGCGTTACAAACAAACAACAAACGAACTTATTTACACACAAACATATATATTTACACACAATCACACACTTGAATGGTTTCGAGCTGAAGACATCCAGTCTTATGGGCTGCAGCTGAAAACCAGCGTTGGAAGGCACCTGTGGCCATCCAACAGTATGCTGAGCTACAAACCCATTGGCAGTTTTTGTAAAGAATTTTGCGTGCCAATAAATTTCCTATCTTTCTTTCTTTCACATTTATAATATAAGTATGGATGTACAAAGTATTTCTATACATTATGATACACATTTTTAACGATCCGACAAACGCAACATAATGCTGTTACAACCTTATCTAAACAAAATGATTCCCTAACAATAGAGGAGATCTGGCGCGTTCTGACTGTAAAACATTTACATCACGAGAAAACCATTGAATTATCGATCGACTATTTACATAAGCCCTTTAGTAAACTAATTCATATAAACATTTTCAAGTGTGCAATAATGATTATCCCCAGACTCCGCATGAGCTCTGCTAACAGAATTATTGGTGTCAATGTCAATGATCTGCGTTTTTGCTGGTTGCTGACTTGCTGACAGAGCTAGGGATTCTGCTATTGGTGGCACGGCTGGTTGTTGGTTCTGATAAAATGGCCTGTGGATTCTCATCACTTCCTCGTAATGTGGCGGTGGCTGATCTACGTCCTCTGTAATTAAATAATACATAGATTTGTTAACTTGACGCTAAGTGGTTAAGAACTTAAACATATAATAATGAACCAATGTAAAGATTAGACAATATTCTCCACTACTTCAGCATATAACCGTCCACAGGTGAACGAAGGGGGAGCCTTCCTAAAGAGCGCCACTAATCCCGGTCATGGGCAGTCCGCATTCATCCGCTTCCAGCTATTTCCTCAAGTCTTAAATAATATTCTCAAATGATACAAATTTCCACCATGTGGCTATCCTCAGACACTCATCACCTAGTTCAATGTACCACACACTTGAAAATAGAAAATAGGTGTATCGCTATCAAAATGAATTTAACTCGTGAGCAGTTTCGTTTAATGTTTTTTTATGGTTTTCGTTATAGCTTAAGGCAACAAGAGAGTTGCCAGAGACTTCAATTGGCATTTGGTGATGAAACACCATGTCGCAGCTCTGTGTATTCGTGGTTTGGAGAATTTAGGCGTGGACGTGATCATCTCCGCGACTGCGGTTAGAGACTCTAATATTGACACCGTACGACAACTTATTGAAACTGACAAAAAAATACTTGCCCGCAAATTCGTGCTTTGTTAGGCATTGGAATGAGGCAAGTGAAAAATATTTTACATGTGCATCTGAAGGTTCGGAAGCTTTGCACTCGATGGATACCGCATGACTTAACGGAGCACCAGAAACGACTGCGTGTCCAGTGGTGCCGTAAAATGATAAAAAAATTTAAAGGAAGACAGTCATTGGCTGTCTAAAATATCGTGACAGGTGACAAAAACTAGGTGTACTGCTTTGAACCAGAAAGAAAAAGCCAGTGCAGCCATGAATACCTGCAACTCAAGAGTCAGAAGTACCTCCCTTTTATTCCCCCCTCCAGAATCAGGGGGAGAGGAAGGCTCCGGCAATCTTACTCACTCACTGATTATGCAATAATATCTAAAACACCCTCTTAAAATTAAATCATCGATAGTAATCATTTAGAATGTAGGTATTCAAGATATAAATGAAATTATACCCAACAGGATGTCTTAAAAACCCCAATTATTGATTGCGACAAAAAGATAAACCCATCAATCTATATTATAATACGAATGCAAAAATTGTTGTTGTTGATATAAGTGACTATAGTTAAGGATTTGAAACGTCATAGCAGATAACATTTTTATTAGAAATCAGATTGTATAAAATACGCTATACATAAAACTTTTTTACGCAGTCATATCAATTATTGAAATCTCTTTTATGTAAGGCTTAAAAGTGAGGTTGACGTGTTCAAAGCAACACCCCGTCTACGGAAAAATGTGTTAAGACGAAGAAATCAAACCTGCGCTTTTGATCAGGAATCAGGTTTCAGTTATAACAATCAATGATTTTGTAACTGCTAAAGATATCACCTGGCGATCGTGGGAGAACTATGCTTTGGCATATGAGCCGGCTCGACCGGAGTGATTCCATGGTCTCGCAAAAAACCGGCGTTAAGCAGAGGGCCAAGTGCGAGTTTATTTCACATCTACTTGATCGTCACGGTGACGGCCTTCGGCGCTGTGATTGGCCCGCACTGAAATCTTAACCAATCACAACGCCGAACGCGCTCGCTGTCGAGAGCGAGTTAATGTGAAATAAACTTTCACTTGGGTCCCAATTCTTTTGTTTCTTTTCACCAAGTGAGTGAGGTCACCGGAGACTAAACACCCTCTCCCTCTGATTCTGAGTGGAGGGACTCAAAGAGCTTCAATTGTGTCTCTTGAATTCCAGGTGTCATGGACGAATTTAATCACTTGCCATCAAGTTACCCGTCTGTTCGTTTCCCACGCACAAGCACTTGTGACTTTTGAGCTGCAGGTGTCCATGGGCGGCGGTAGTTGCATACCATCAGATGATCCGTCTGCTCGTTTGCCCCCTTATACCATAAAAAATGAATGAAACATTCCTAGTGCGTAGTTTATACTTTAGTAGTACAATAAATGTACATATCTTGAAGTACATTTGGTTGCGAAACTAAGTACTCACCATAACTTGGCGGTAGATTCGAAATGCTGTCATCAGATTGCCATAAAGACATAGAACTCACAGAGCTGACGTAGTGGTCTTCCGATCTCCTGGGTCTCATCGCGTTTTGTCTTTGCAATGGCCTAAACATTTTTCTTTTCTCTAAAACAACCGTTCTTTTTAAAATATATTTATTTTCTTGTTAGATACTTTGTGAACTGGAACACTGAGCTTGCATAGTGAAAAACTATGGGTCTATCAGTTATCCTGGCAGAAAATGGCCTGGGAAGGTAGCGCGACGTATTCTGCGTGTGCATCTCTAAACCTAAAGGAGAGCAAAGCCCTCTGCACGCAGTGGTGTGCCTGCCTACCTTTTACGGTCAAGGTCAAAGCCCGACAGACCTTGGGTTTTAGTCGGTTTACTTCCAACATACCACTTCCCTGTGAGCTTCACTTCCTTAGGGGGTTTCCAGGCCACAAAAAGTAAACGTTATCCGGGATACAGGTACAATATTTTTAACATTTTTTGAGACAGTTACGGATATCAATTATATCAGATTATCCGATGGTTTCAGATACTTTCGAATTCGGCTACTCATACTTAAGTGTTATCTACTTAGAAACTAAATTTAATTAAACTTAAACAATGTGACACAATCATTACAGTTAGAAAAGACTCCGCCCTTATCCGAAATTCAGATTTATTTTTCGGAGTATCGGTTGATAGATTTGTCAAATAACATCCTTGATTTGAATAATAAGTAGCAATAATACAGATAGAAAGAAATTTCATACCTTGACAGGCTTTCCAAAAAGTGTAGAACATTAATAATATCATCATTGCCAGTAAAATTAAAACTACTTCAAGAAATATAGTATTAGACTCCATGTTGTTTCCAAACACTTATTACTGTCACAGACTCTAAAACCACTCTTCTTTATTCTATTTATTAAACAATAAATAATACTGAATAATCATGAGATATAACTTTTGAATAAAAGTAAAGTTACATTTAAATTAACATTGAACAATTCACATACGGTTCTCAACTTTTATTAAATTAAACATTATGAATACTTCAGGAAAATGTGTTTAAATGAACAAATAACATTGGCTTGCCAACCAGGATAAAGAACAATAACTATGAATTATGTTCCTGAACCTTACGTGTTTATAATAAGGTTTAATTTCCAAAAATATACATCAAATCGCTTTATGATATTTTAAATGATGGATATAATAAGAAGGAAATTTATTTGAAACTGCTATGTATTCGCCATTCTCAATGTTAGGTGGGTAAATGTGTGTATTTTCATCATTTTATACACCATCCTGGAATTTGAATATTTATGCATACGTGCATAAATATTCAAATTCCAGGATGATGTGACGGCCCGAGGGGGTTTCCACACGTAAAAAAAGGGGTTGTGTCAAGTTTTCCTTCTCTTTGCAGTGCTGTAGTTCTTCGTAGTTAATCCATTAGTCGCCACTTACGACACCCACGGGATGAATAGGTTTGGTGGTTGATGAATAGGGGTATCCATCAGCAAACAGACGAACAACACTAAAACACCAGTAATTAATAAGAATTCTCATTATTCTTTGCACTGGTTTACTCGTCGTATCGCAAAACGAGAATACGTCGACCGCATCACGGCGTATATATGCAGGCTTGACCTTAGTTCCAGAAGATACGTGAACTTTACTGATGATAAATCTCGTCACTCGTCACTCGACGTGCAAAGTTAAATTTAGAATGCCCAGGTTTTAAAGCCTATCCACATGAAACCTCACAGTCGTAATATCGTAATAATAATCTCGGAGGCCTCGTTCTATTTGTGCTGTAGTAATACTCGTAGCTCTGCGTACTCTAAGAAGGCCAATTCTTGTAATAAAAATGCCTTTCCGTTCCGATCAACCCTCGATCTCACAACTGTTATTAAAGGTATTTTCGTAGCAAAGTGTTAAAAGGTTTTAGAAGGTAATAGTTTACGGTGAATTTAGGGCAAAACAAGCTAACATTTCCTGAACTAGGTTGAAAAATCATGTAGAAAGACAGCGTCTCAAAAGTTTAATGATAGATCTTTTAACTGACGGATAGCTAAATTTTATTGATTCCAGGTAATTCAAAAATATTTAGAATTGGTTGTTGGTGTAAAAAAAGACAAAAAGTGGATATAAAATAAAATAACTGATTCCTTAAACTAAATTTATTTTATTTTCATTAAATATAACTTTAGGTACGTAAAAATATATATACATAGATGCATTATTTGACCTTTGATCAAAAAAACAATTAAATTATCATGGATAATCATGGATAATTTTATCACGTTATCACAACAATTTGGGATACTTTTAAAAACTGAAATTACACTAAAATATATAGAATGTTTAGTGTTTTTTTTAACAAATTGTAACCAGTCTTACGTCCTCTATAAAGACCGACATAAATTTGTAAAAACTTATAATTTATATTTTGGTCCAATCTCTCCACCTCTTAAAATAGAAATAAAATAAAAAAATAAATAAACATTTTATTTCTATTTGGAGATCAGTAACTATTATAAATAAACCATTTACCGTGAATGGTATTTATAAGAAGTACATGGTTTTGCTCACGTGTTCATTTCGCAGATGACCGACTGGTGGTGTGACGCTTCACTCCACGAATAGGGGCCCCTACCGGGTCGACCTTCCCCGGAATACACACGTAAACAAATCTTTAATTAATATACCATTTATGAATGGTTTTAATGGTAACTCGACTAATTTTTTATTACAAATTCCCTTTTGAAAAGTTACAAAAGGGAATTTGTAATAAGTAATATATTGACACTGTGGTATACTCTACGTTGTGTGGTTCTAAATAAAGACAATAGCAATTTAATATTTCGTATGATTTCTATTCACAAGATTACAAACAAATAAAAGGCCAGCTTCCAACACTACAATAATACAGACTAGTGTATGACAAATGCATAGTCTCGGCCACGCCAGCTCAACTGGAAGACTTACATTGCTGCTTCTGAACGTTATACATAAATCATGATGCTGCTGTCTGCCTCTCGTTGACAGTGGTCACTGTTACGGCTGCCGGGACCTGGTTGATGGTCGGTGGCGGGGAATCGTTGGTAGCTGGCAGCGGATCGACGGTCCTTGTGTTGTTGTTGTTGGACTGTGCTAGTGCGGATGTGATGGGGTGTGAAATTGGCTGCTGGGTTTGATGGTCGGGGTAGTGTACTCCTACCACCTCTTCGTAACTTGGCGGTGCCATACATTCTGGAAACAGGAAGAGTTGTATATTTAGAGTCTAAATCGAACAGATCTATAAACAAATATTGTAACCATAGAGTATGACGCGTAATCTAAAGGCCTTATTAAAACTGAGACTGACCATAAATGTGAATGAATGAAAGGACTGTATGCCAGGCATAATTAAATAACTTTTATACATTTACCAGTCTTTACAAATACCCATTAATTGCCCAGTGATTACTATTATAAGAGGTATAAAAAAATGCAGGTCAATCTTATATAGACATTTAAACAAAGAACTACGTCACACCCGGCACATTCATAAACGTGCACCTGTGCATGACGTCATAGATCTGCACGCCTTACCAAAATGTCAATCAATCATCGGTAACATAATAATAAGACACGAGAAGTCGCATAGACCCTTGACCTTGTCGCCGCAATGATGTGTAGACGAACACCACTTACATAAATTCACACCATTCGTGATTTAGTTGCGCGGAGCGTCGTATGTCAATTTATATTGTTAAAATGGTGAACTGCAGCATATTATTTACTATTAAGATTTCTATGCAATCTATATTTCACATCAATATATAAATAGCATACTACAGTTATTTAACTCAAGTAGTATTAGAACAATAGAAAAAAAGTCGTTTGCTTCATCCATATTTATAAAGTTCCATATCTTGTTCAAGCGCTCTAATTTCGGAAACTATCCGTCGGATTAAAAAAAAAAACTTTCTGCATAATATTATATGATAGACTAATTCTTAAGGAAGGTGATAAGCTTTTCAACATTACGGTACTACCATTAGGAACCCTGTAGTTAGGGGGAAGGGCTTGGGTAAACTCAGTCGATCGATGAAAGCTCATGCGATTTTCTGTTGGCAGGGACGTGGTTACACTCCGGTCAGGGCTGTCCCCTGATTACATAACACACAAAGACGGTACTCACCATATTTTGGAGGGGGAGGCAAATTGGAAGGGCTGACGTATATAGTAGGCTCGTGTGTAGTCAACGAGGGGCGGGCTCGGGATCCCGCATACATCCGCCTCTGCTGCGGATTGCGCGTTTTTTGTCCTGCAAATAATACAAATAAATACATTAAAAATTGACATAAACACGATTTTTGTATTTGGACACGACAAGAGGAAATTCTATTTTCAAATAATTTTTAACAGTTTTAAAATCTTGTTTTTTATTATACTTCGAAGAGTCATCATCTGCGCCCTATCAATTTTATTTGAAATTTCATAATATTTTAAAGAGTATAGAAAAGAGTAAAGGGTAGAGAATAATTTGGGCCGGTAACCTAACTCTCGAGGTGAATAGCCACGAAAAAAATTGCTATACAACGATTTTTGAGGCCGTGGTCTCACATGAATTGTCATTTTAATGGTACTAATTTGAAAATAGTTAAACTTTTATTAATTTACAGTATAACTGTATATTTTAAGAAGTAAGCAATATACTTGACAAATAGTGCAAGTAACTAAGTACAACTAATTGAAAATAAAACAAAAATGATGAGCATAAATACACTGCCTGCCATTTTAATAAAATTATTACGACTATTTCTATATTATAAAAATGTTAAGTTGATTTGTGTACACTTCAAAAACTCAAAAAGTTCTACACCGATCGAGTTCAAATTTTGACATAATATACAAATACACTTCGAAGATGGCTTTTGTATATTCTTTGTGTCAATTTTGCTCCTTTTTTAATCAATGCGACCACAACGAGTCACAGCGAAGCATGGCAGGGCAGGGTACAACTAGTACACTATATTTATCAAAAAACTACAATCATATAAGAAATTTAACATCAAATAACTACTCGCAACAAATACATAGGAATAAACGGTGAGAATAATTTAATAAGTAAATATTTTTTAAATGATATCCTGTTTTCTAAACAAGCCTCACTAGGGCAAAATATCAAAAGGGAAAAAACAATAATTCTGTCAATTTTCCAACATGGTTAACGAGAGAAAATGGTAGAAAATATTGTCTACAATGATTCCATCCATTCAATCAATTAACTTTATCTTATTTATTATAATTTATTAAAAAAAAGACAGGAGGAGAAACGAAAAAGCCCACCAAAAATGGGTTTGACGTGGCGTGACGTTTTGTGATGTCGAGCTCGGTAGCTCGACATCACAAATGATGATAATGAAAAGAAACACGAATATTGCATTAATCATTCTATCATACTAATGGAAAAGTTATCAATACAGACAACAAAAAATACGCAGCAGATTACAAATCTATCCCCTAGAAGTGACTTTTACCTAATTTATACAAGCCCGTATATAAACAAGATTATTAGCGTATACAAAAGTCGTTTGTAGCCGACATGCGACGTACGACGAAGTAGTTTTTGAGGTCAGGACGTTAAAAAGAAAATATCTAACCAATAGCGACGTAGTTTTCAAGAAAACTACAACCCACAAAAGATCCATGAGATTTGAATTAGAAATTTTATTCTGTAATAGCGTCACTAATTAATGATAAAAATAAACCTAATACTTCACTTGTATGTGACAAGTAATCCGTATTACCTGTAATTAATATTTTGATGCACGTCACTACGAAACACATTATCACAAATAACAGCAGTATACTCGTAAGAGACCACATAACACTAGGCAAAGAGCTGTCAAAAGTCACCGTCAACGCACCACCCTGCGTCTCTGACAGAGGTTCTGTCACATTTTGAGATTCCATTTTCAAATATACTATGAGATTTATTTGTTACACACCACGATTGTCATTTTGATATTAGGTTATTAGCAACAATACTTGTATTAGAATAGTTTATAACGTACGTAATGTAAGAAATCTGTCTCAAAACTAATAAAATGACATCAGTTGTCAGTCTTTGTAATTGATTTCTAATTAACATTTAATTAGTTAGGGCTATTAAAGGCGCGTTTGTGTATGTGTGTGTAAATCTACAGAGGACAGAAGATGCACACATTGAGTTTGTGAACTGTTTATGACTTTCTTAGTTTAAAGTTAGAATTAGGCGATAAACATGTCACCGAGCCGGCCACGTCCAAAGAGGGACCAACGGCTGTTGAAGTAAACCAGTCCTAGAACGGAGACTGCTAAACAAGCTAAATTTAAAGAAATACAGTACGCTCCCAAGCCGTGAATTGACGATCCGAAGAAGGTATGGAATGGACTTCTGTCTTCTGTCAACTACTGTCAGTGTAATGGTTTATATATGCTGAGAGTGGCCTATGGCCAGCAGTGGGCGTTTTATCACTTTCACGATACTTTAGATAAAATATTAAAATATTTAATTGTATATATAAGTATTAATTTATCAAGATATAAGATAAATAACATAGAATGTGACTTTAAAATGTTATCGAACTGAACAGTTTCGTGTCAAATTCTTATGAACTACAAAAGACAAAGGAAATAAAAAGATTATTAAACAATAAATAACAAACGCAATGACTGGATACTACGCAATTGATCGTAATAATTTTAATACTAGTTTAGCTTGTCAAAAATATTTGATGAAACTAATTAATAGTATAAATGCAGATACATGTTTGTTTCTTTATCAATAATAGTAATAACTGCACACGTTTCACACACGGCCGTCTGATCCTGAACTAGGCAGAGCCTGTGCTATGGCAAGCAGACTGCTGATAAACATACTTATATATTGCGAAATACGTAGATATTGTAGATAAATACACCAAATGGTGTTCATCACAACATTTTTGTAATAGAAATCCAATCCACGACCTCTGGTGTAACAATCAGGTTTACTAACCGCTAGACCAAGAGGCCGGTCAGTTTATGAGGCCTTAATACCCTAGCCACACAATTAAGCAATTTATTTATTGTTCATACACCAGATTATAATAAAATGTTACGTACATGTTGTAAAAAAAGATACAGAAAGGATAAAGACAATGTCATAGAGTGGTATTTATTCAGAAAAATGATGATCATTTAACGCGAGTGAAGATGCGCGCAAAAGCTAGTATAGTCTAAAGGAAAAACTTATCACCTATCAGGAAAGTGAGTTTAGATTACAAAAATACCTTATCTGGTGATAACACTATCGAATGACATGTCTCTTGGATACATTTATGAACAAAAATGTGATATATTTATATAAAAAAGAGACAAACAGAAATGATGTATAAAATCAAAGAATGATCAACAAATAGTATTTTTTTTTTTGTTGACGGAGTGGAAAATCCCTTCGGATCTCCGGCTAGTTGGGGATATAGGAGCCAGGAGTATGTGGTGATTCCACTAAAAACCACTCCGACGGCCAGCCTTAGGAGCCCTGCTCTGGGGAGTCTAGTCTAGTCTAGTAACTAGGTCCCATCTCAGGGAAAGCCAGTGGCTTCTCCCTGCCTCTCAGCCTATCCAGATGTTGCAGCCCGATCACATTTTCAGTGCGATCAGGCTGCCATCCTTTCCCCTACCGCAGCAATTAATCTGCCACCAGAGGTCCCCACTCTCTGGCGGCCCGCGGTCCCGTCGGCTGCTCATTACGTCGTCGACGTCTTCTTCGCTCGGGATCGGAACAAGTAGTACCTACATATATGTACTAAATGTACATACATACATACACTCAGATTTGTATAGTTATAATAACCTCACACATCTCACACGCGGCCGTCAGATCTCAACTGCTGATAATCAGACTGCTGAAAACACACTTACATATAAGTGTGTTTTTCAGCAGTCTGATTTGATGATAAATATGTATTTTTAAATACAAACATATTATAGGAAAATTCGGTAAGACACATAAATTATATGTATTGTAACAGTTATTTGTCCTCGGTGGGAATGGAACCGACGACTTCTGACGTAGCAGTCGTTCGAACAAGCCGCTCGTAACCCCAAAGGAGTTATCTCGAACTTTTAAAATAGTAGCAAGTGCTTTTTGAATATTAATGAAAAGGGCAAAAAAAGAAATAAAAGGTTAAAAAGTGGGTGTGAAACGAAAGCAACGGAATAATTAAATTTGAGAAACATTAATATGCAATATATGATATATATATGAATAGTTTAGAGAGTAAACCACAAATCGAACGGGTTCGATTATACCTCTTCACTCGAACTGGCTGTAGTCGGTAAATTTGAGTCTAATATAATTAAATTGTACACAAAAATAAAACAAAAACGTATATTACTTATGGAAAACACCCGAAGGCAAGCGAATAGTAAGAGCCACGTAAGCAGCATCACAATCAACACCACCAAGTACCAAAACGCCATCTGACTCAAACCAGGATCGGCTTCTTCGTATCTCGGATCTATTGTCTCATCTTCATCTAAAGCGCTAGACATGTATGGTGCCATTTTCCTTCTTTAAACTACTTTGAAATCTTCTCTTTAAAGAAGATTAGAGTTTCTTCAATATTGTAGTAGAATCGATCAAAAAACTTCTGAATTGTTTGTTGCACAAGCAATTCGAGTTTCCGACACGTTTTGTTTCACTCACAAATTAATTTGCTTAAACAAATTACTGGAATGAACACAAATAACGATTTAATTTCACTGAGTCACAATAAATATACATATTTTAAACATTTTCAAATAAAATACTCGGTATTTGGATCACTGGACAAAGGGATACTGTATCACGAACTGTAGATATTCATATCTGCGATATGTCAGTATTATCGTGACGGTTAAGCAACAGTACATGCTGAATGATAATTTAACAATATTTCGTAGGTATTTGGTACACTACTATGTGTTTAACCATTACATGTCTCATAGAAATCTTCTGAATTTCAGATAGAACTATATCTGTTCTCGCAACGCTTTGTCTTTTAAATAATTCAAGTACTTTCTAATTAAAATAATCATTCTTAATCGCGATTTGTAAGTTTGTTGGATTGTAACGAGTTTGGGAAAAATTTAATGCATTATTAAGGTATTGGTATTAGGTATTAGAAATTCCCAAATATCTTTCCCAAATAGCTGAATCTTTCCCAAACGGTGAAATTCCTAAGGTAGATGGCCGATGATAACAAAAAAACCTTAACTATTAAACAATAAAATAAAGGATTGCGTGAAAGAGGATGTCGAGTAATCAAGAAGAATGGAAGTAGAAAACTTATTGCACCGACCCAAAATAAATATTGGAAAGGGTAGGAAGATGATGATTATGAGGGTGAGGAGGCAGACGCGGGTCACCTAATGATAAGTGATTAGCGTCAACACCTGCAACTCAAGAATGGCTTTTGAGTCTCTCGAAGAATCAGATGGCTTTGTTCAATCAGAATCAGAGTTTGGGTCCGGTAACTTCACTTGCGAAGTGAAAACGACCGAATGAATGTTGAACACATACTGTATTCTCGTTTATTTTCTTAAAGTTCTAGCACCAAATGTTCAATAACTATGCATTACTTTGTGAGTCGAGCTCCACTTGTATCTATAAAGATAAATGTGAGAAAACGCTATCGTTATTTATAGCTAGATTTTTATCTGTATTATACTCCACTAATATAGGACTTATCGAAATGGTTTTAACTTCACAATTCACTACGCACGTATTTTTAGGAAAATTTCGCGACCGGAGGTGCGTAAAATTTAGAATAATCAAAGTTTAATTGGTTACTAATTCTTTATTAATGTTTTTTTTTATTTCGTTCTCTCATTGTTTATTAACGTTTATGTAATGAAATCTTTCGAAGTAGTTTTTATCAACTTAACGCGGCCGATTTATTTGAAAGATTTGCACACGCATCAAGGATAGATAACACAACACTGAAAGTTAAAAATCAAAATTATAGTTTAAATGAGCACGCTTTATTAACAAATTGAACTAAAAAATAGATAATCTAAATTACACGTAAATAAATTTTTTATACTGCTTAAAACTATGGCGCACGGAAACATATCATATTCCACTATCATCATCAACAGCATTCCACTGCTAGACGTAGGCCACTATACCACGCTCGCCAGAGAGCCTGGCCGCTGGCCAGTTTTCCTTCTCTTTGCAGTGCTGTTATCCTGCGTAGTTTGCTCCCTTAGTCGGGTGTCACGACACCCACGAAACAAAACCACACATTCAAAGCGGTCGACTTTTCACCGGCAAGCGATCTCTAGTATTCTTTAAATAAGAAGAGGTTTACATCTCTAATAATATTTTTTTTTTAAAGACAACTCCCGCACTAGGAATGTATCCTGTATCGCGGGGGACTTTACAAACATACTTTAAACGGACACAAGAACATCCGGACTCAGAACAACAATTTGTGAATCACACAAAGTGTTGTCCACCACACCACCACACCATCCGTGCAGTGCCATCGATTTTAATGTTATATAATTAAATTGGTTGGAATGAAAAAGCGATTATAAATACCTAAGGAGGCACATTTAATGCACATCATCATGAAGACGAAGGCCAGCATCGTTACCATCACGGATATATACACCACTCCTCCGACAGTTATAGTTGGTTCGTTCGACGCGTCATCTGTCACTGGTACTTCGTAGTTAACTTCGTATGAAGGCGCCATTTTGTTTTATTGTCACTTTTTTTTTTTTTGAAAGAGTGTTAAGCACCAGTACTATCTATTTAACACTATTTTTAAAGCTGTATTTGTGACGAGTCTTTTTTGATCCGTTTTTTCTTTCGTTCGAATCCGTTTTTTTTGAAGTCACGGTTTTATTATTACGCTATTGTTAATAAAAACAACACGAATTATAATTTTGGACACTCGATCACACAATTATATTTATTGTAACAAATATAATGGTGAACACTTTTAGTTTTTAAGTCCCGTTTATTTCAAAAGTATTTTTAAAGCCAGCATTTCTGCACACTGTAGTACATTTATCTTCTTGGAAATAATATAAGATACTGAGTTAATATTTTATAGATTTTTATGTCAAACATACAATGACATGATCGATGATTCTCGTTTGAAATAACGTGGTCTGTCGTTACACAGAATATGAACCTTATTCGATACGTTATAAGAAACATATTTTTTCTAGTCGTATCACAAACGAGATCGGATTTATCTAAAACTACAATGTTAAAGATAACAGATGGACATATATAATCACGTCAACCTTTAAAATGTAAAATGAAGATTTCATATTTATTTATTTTATTAATTTAATATTTATATTCTTAAATCCGTGTAGTGACGGATTAAGAATACGGAATGTCACTATCCCAATTATTGTCGTAAGAGCTGACACCAGCACCTCAAAAATAAGGAAAACTTGACACAAACCCTATACCAACCCGTCTGGCCAGCGTGGTATAGTAGGCCAAAACCTTTCTAAGGAGAGGCCTATGTCCAGCAGTGGACTATTAAAAGCTCTTGATAAAATTAACGCCAACGTCTCTTTTCTCTTACCGTCTCTAATCACAGGATGTCCAAACATGCCATCACAATCCCATTTCCCCATCCGAGATTTGCGTCCTATCCCTTACCCTAGGTAATCCATTTACTTTTTTATGTTATAGGGCGCAAACAAGCAGACAGGTCACTTGAGGGTAAGTGATTACCGCTGCCCATGGACACTTGCAACTTAAGAGTCACAGAGTGCGTTACCGTCCTTTGAGTCCCCTCCTCAGTATCAGGTGGGGGGAGGGTTTGGGATCTTGTAACCTCACTGACTCGGTGACAAATAACGATGAATTAGCTTAACACCGCTTTTCACTTTGTTTAATGCTATTTTTTGCCCGCGGCTTCGATCGCGTTTATGTCGGTAATCGCTATAAAAAGCATGTCTTATCTCAAGAATCAAACTATCTAAATACCAAATTTCATCTAAATCGGTTTAGCGGTTATTGATTCCCTATACAAACTTCAGGCCAGGGGGGACCCTCTTGAAAGACGATTTTTTGGGATAAAAAATATCCTGTGTCCTTTCCGGGGACTCTAACTATCTTTAGACCAAATTACATCTAAATCTGTTCAGCATTTTAAGCGTGAAGAGGTAACAGACAGATAGACAAACATACATACTTTCACATTTATAATATTTATTTATTTATTTATTTTAAATATAATAATAATATAATACGTATATTTCACAAATGTATTTCTCTTGTCTTGTTACAAATATACTTGCTGCTAATAATGTAAGCAGATTAAAAATGCTATATCTCAAGATAAAACCCTGATAATAAAAATCGAATGCCAAGGCTTTCGAAATAGAGCCCCAAAGGAAGGTTTCCACTGTCAATTTATTTTTTATTTTTTTATTACTTAATCAAAAACACTTAATACGTCATCTAAATATAAAATTTAGTTACAGTTTCAAGAACTGTTTAATAGATGGCGTTAGTTCCATAGCCTAAACGCTACATGATCTGACAGAGGTAAAAAAGCGATCAGATCTTTGTCTCTTTCTATTGCTGCGTAACGAGAGAGATAGCTAATTAAAAAAAATCTCTCAGCAGTTATCAGTACTTATCTATTTACTTAATACTACTGCTCTTTTCATAGAGGCTTTGTCACACACTGTTGTTTTGAAGTGAAAACTTCTTTAGCGGCGTTGTACACTTTTTTTGTAATGGGTAAAAATGTTAAACTCGCGTCAGGACACGTGACCTGATCGAAAATTCGTAAGACGGTGGAGAGTAAACAGCCGGCGCGGCGTAGGGAGGAAGTATCCCCCTCTCTTTCTACGAAAATGTATGCCTGCGCCTGCTGTGTGTTTACGTTACAGCGTGCCACGCGCATCCATGGATGGTGACAGCGTCTCGATAAATTGTCATGTTTGTGTATCATAGCGCAATAAATAAATATTGTATTCTACCACATAAATGATAGTACTTTTATACTAATAATTAAAGCAATTCGTGCAAAATTATTCTCTAACCATTCCAAAATATCAAAAATGTACAACGTTAATATTCAAGTTTTCACTTCTGCCGGCACTCCCGGAGTGCAACCTGTCGTTTTTTTTTCAGATTGGACTTGCAAAGCTTACTATAATCAGAGGTATTTGGAAGATTAAACGCTTCGGTCAGAAAAATAATGCGGTCTGATTTAGGAAAATATAAGAAAATTGTTTATAAAACTATTTTTTTAAATTCCTATCAATGACTTTAAGGTTTTGAAAATGGAACCGCCCTAGCCACCAGCACCTAGGCCCGTGCCCCCTTGGCCCCAGGTACTGGTATCATCCATTCTGTGCCCTAGGGTATTCTACGCCCCCTGAATGTAATAATGATTTAATTATCCCGACTGTGACACAACGTTTTAGAGTTATTACTACAGTGTTCCTAAAATCAAGAGAATAAATAATACTACGTCATCATACTATGTTGGTGATCAACAATTGCCCGCCTGATTGTTGGCGATTACCAATTCCTG